CGCAATGCAGGAGGAGATCAATCAGTTTGAAAGATTAAATGTATGGACCCTGGTGCCGAGGCCCCCGAAGAAAACAATAATTGGCACTTAGTGGGTCTTCAAGAACAAGAAGGATGAAGACGGTGTGATTGTAAGGAACAAAGCCCGACTGGTCGCAAAAGGATACAATCAACAAGAAGGAATTGACTATGATGAAACCTTTGCACCAGTGGCTAGAATTGAAGCAATCAGGTTGTTCCTTGCATATGCTGCTCATAAAAGTTTCACCGTCTATCAAATGGATGTAAAGACTGCGTTTCTAAATGGCGAATTAAAAGAAGAAGTGTTCGTGGCACAAACGGAAGGCTTTGTTGATCCTGAACGCCCACATTATGTCTACAAGCTGCAGAAAGCTCTGTACGGACTAAAACAGGCACCGAGAGCCTGGTATGATGCACTATCTGACTTCCTTGTGCACTCAGGCTACTCGAAGGGGAAGATAGATCCAACTCTTTTCATCAAGCGAGAGAAAAGTGACATCATGCTGATACAAATCTATGTAGATGACATCATATTCGCCTCGTCCAATCCGAACTTCTGCGAAGAATTCAGCAACTTGATGCGCACTGAGTTTGAAATGAGTATGATGGGAGAGCTGAACTTCTTTCTTGGGCTACAGATCAAGCAATTGCCAGACGGAATATTCATCAGCCAGTCAAAGTACATCCATGAAATGCTCAAGAGATTCAAGATGGACAGCAAGTCAACCATGAAAACCCCCATGTCTCCCTCACAAAAACTCGACTCTGACCCTTCTGGGATATCAGTCGATGCTACCAACTATCGGGCAATCATTGGTTCCTTGTTGTACCTAACATCTAGTAGACCGGATATTGTCTTTGCAACTTACCTGTGCGCACGCTTTCAAGCGAATCCAAAGGAATCACATCTAAATGTAGTAAAGAGAATCCTGAGATACTTGAAAGGAACAGTCAACTTAGGACTTTGGTATCCCAAGGACACGGGTTTTGACCTCATTGGTTACTCAGATGCTGATTTTGAAGGTTGCAAGTTAGACAGGAAAAGTACATCCGGTGGTGCTCAATTTCTGGGAGAGAAGCTAGTCTGTTGGTCCTCCAAGAAACAGAACTGTGTGTCAACTTCTACAGCCGAAGCAGAATACGTTGCGGCTGCTAGTTGTTGTTCACAAATCCTATGGATGAGGACCCAACTCAGAGACTATGGCTTCTTGTTCAATCACATCCCGATCTACAGTGACTCCCAGAGTGCAATTGCCATAACAAGCAACCTCGTTCATCACTCGCGCACCGAGCACATCGATCTGCACTATCACTTCATCAAGGACCATGTGGAGAAAAGAGATGTTGATCTGTACTTTGTAAGCACTGAGCTTCAACTGGCTGACATATTTACTAAGACACTGGATGAAAAGAGATTCCAGTTCCTAATATCTAAGTTAGGCATGTTGAATCTAGATCCTATGTAATTGTGTTATCTCCATGGTCTGAATAAAATGTGTGCGTGTGTGGTGTGCGTTGCATGTGTTGAGGGGGAGAAAAGGGAGAAAATAAAAGAGAGAGGAATACTTTGAGGGGGAGAAAAGAAGAAAATAAGAAAAAGTGTGTGTGTGTGTGTGAGAAAATCAGAAAATCAGAAAAAGAGTGTGTGTGTGAGTGAGAAAATCAGAAAAGTAAGAAAAAGAGTGTGTGAGAGAAAATCAGTTCTCGATATTTGAACCTCGAAAAGGTCTTTTCGATGTTTAAATACCGAGAACCTACTTCTCGAAGTTTGAAATACCGAGAAGCGGTTCTCGATATTTAAACATCGGGAAAGGAAGTTCTCGAAGTTTAGATCTCGAGAAGGACTTTTTGATATTCTCACATCGAGAACCAAGTTCTCGATGTTTGAGTATCGAGAAGAGCTTCTCGGGATTTAAACCTCGAGAACCTACTTCTCGATGTTCAAACCTCGAGAAGTTGGTTCTCGTGGTTTACACTCAGAAATTTTCTCGAGGTCCCACCAGTACACACCTGATCAGAACAATTGCAAAAACAGAACAAAAATAAAATTTTCAAATGAACAATGTGCTGACCCAATTTCTTCAGCTAATCATGTCAGGAACAGCCAAGAATGCACAACCAAGCAATGATGTATACCCTAAAGAGAACAGGGTCCCACTATATGACAACAACTTTCAATTGGACCTGAAGCTCTTCAAATGTCAGGACCGAGTCATTCTCTCCATCCTACAGAAGCACTACCTTTGGACTGCATTCAACGAAGCCAAACCAGTACCAATGGTTTACCTGCAACATTTCTGGGACTCGATGCAGACTCCCAGTGAAAAGGATCGCTCGAAAATCATGACCAAGCTAAATTTAATAAAAAATTATTAAATTTTTTATTTAATAATTTAATAAAAAATTATTAAATTTACTATATTTTTTGTAACAATCAAAGTACAAATAAAAAAATTATTTTAGTTTAAAATAAACATAGGATTTTATTATTTGAATTGCATGGTTTTAAGAAATATTTTAAAAAGTTGTGTTACGTAGCATTCCAACTTATAGATTAGTTCTAATCTAAGTTAAATACGTATGTATCGGAAGATTTATTAACATACCAAATAAGATGGATTTCCATATCAACATGTAATATAACAATAAAAAGTTAAAAATAATTAAATACAAGTAATTATTATATATGGTGACATGGCAAGGTTATGTGACACATTGTATGCTCTTAAAAAGTTCCTCTTTTATATATATATATATATATATATATATATATATATATATATATATATATATATATATATATATATATATATATATATATATATATATATATCGATTGTAAGGATAGTTCTCGCCTTAAACATGGAAATACAGATTGAATTATGTATTCACAGATTATATGATTTTTTGATGCTCTTTGTTGCATGGTGTAACTTTTTTTGTTGCTTATTGTTGTATCATATTTCTTTTTGTTTCCCATTGTTTATTTTTTTGTTTATTGTACCATATATTGTTTATTGTCTATATAACATTATTTCTAATTGAACCGGAGTTTGTACTATATATATTGTTGTATATGTGTATTAATTGGTTTGACATAAAAAGTGGATTGAGTTTTGGTAATAATTGATTCTGATTTCGTGTCATAATTATCGCATTCTCATCGCAGGTGCATTCTAAAAGAATATGTACATGAAGATGGTGAGGGTGAGAAGATAGATGAGGAACAAAGAAAAGAGAGACAAACCTCTCGATTGAAATGTGTATAAAGATCACACGGAGGTAGAAGAATCGAGTCAACTGTTAGAATAGATAAATATAATAGATTGAAATATACATTTGTACTTTTGTAGTAAAACTTTCATTTTTTGTTGCTTATTGTTATTGTGCATATGTTGCTTTTTGTTGCATCTTGTTTCTTTTTGTTGCATAATGTTTCTTTTTGTTGCATCTTGTTACTTTCTTTTTGCATCTTGTTACCAATTGTTCTTCATTGTTTTTTATTATTTACTTAGGTTTTTATTCATCCCTGCTAGTTCATTGGTGAAAAAAAACCCGTAATCACATGTATATAGAAGCACCTACATGATAAATTTGAATTTTGTATGTCAACAATCACAAGAAATAGGAAGCAACAATTAAAACCAAAAAATTCAAAGCTATTAACAAAAAGAAGCAAATAATTAATTCAAGAAACAATATGCAACAACTAATAATTATTGAATTGTGTAAGTATTTTTAGAATATTACATTACAAACTTATATATTTTTCGATTTTTCCATCTTTTTAATAATTTCTTTTTTTGACTTTTTTATTTACAACTTCATTTAATTTACACGATTTTTAGTTTACTTTAATTTTTTATTTTTAATAAATTCTAAAAATCTTATTTTCTACTTTTATTTTACTTGTACAAAATCTAATTATATTTTTTGAATGCTTAAAAATTTATACTTTGTATATTTTTTGAAATTTTTAATTTTTTTTATTTTATGATAATAATTTTGATTATTATTATTACTATTTTTACTTTGTATATATATAGAATTTACAAAAACATTACTCTTTCATAAAAAATTATAACTACTTTAAGTATTTTTAAATAGTTCCAGAACAATTATAAAAATTTATAAACATTACTTTGTATTTTTAGTACGTTTTTTTACCATTTATATCATTTATATCATTTTTCCATTTTTTTCTCTTAATGTTTTAAAAATATGAAATATGCAAGTCTAATTATAGAGCATAAAGGTTACACGTAAGTGTTTATTCAAAAAAGTGGATACATAAATAGATTTTCTATCTTCCGTATACAATCCGACATCCGTTATTTAACAACGTTACATAACAAACAAGTTGGTGGTCACGGTCTATTACTAAAAGAGATCTATTTCGTAGGCTATTTTTGAAAGAAAGTTTGAAAAGTGAAAAAACTGATATAACTTTCACTTTTTAGGCTACCTCTGAGATAGATGGAATTCGGTTTCGGTGATTTGGATTCATTGCTGAGTATTTGTTGGGCTAATAGAAAGAAAGTGGTTTGGGCTTTTAAAATGTATAACTGATAATTTTACTATTTAAAATATACTCCCTCCGATTTTATTTAATCTTCACACTTTGACTTCACACAAAATAAGGAAAGAAATTTGACTTTACTGTAGAGTACACTGTTGAGGCACTATTTGGCAATGTAGAGACACTATTTGGCACTGTTGAGACACTGTTTGACACTGTTTTGATGTAGATTTTTTGCCAAAAAAAAGAAAATAAGGAAGTGTGAAGTTTATTTTAGACCGTCCCAAAAAGGAAAGCGTGAAGTTTATAAAAAACCGGAGTTTAGTAAACTTTACTACAATTATTTATGTATTGGGAACCCAAAATTAAACTGTAATAATTAATTAGGACATGGGTCAAATTTCTCTAAATCAGAGTTTTGTAATGTTCGGCCCATTCCAATCTAATTCTGGTTGGACCACTCAAGCCCAACTTCCCTTCAGACAATTAACCTGAACACACTGACGATTCTCGCCTGGCTTTCATTCGCTGCGTGCCACCTCTTCGGCGTAGTGCATCTATCAAACAAACCAGGTATCTCATGGATCTCGAATCTTAGCTTCTTCCACTTCCGGCCATATCAATTATTTCTAATCCAAAATTATTCCCTGTTTAAACTATTTCCGGATCTGAAAGCAATTACTAAAAGGTAAAATTTGGTCCACCGATTTATACAAATTTTATCGTATCTCCGATTTTTAGATTTTGGTTGTGTGCTTGATTGTGTGCGTGTGTGTATGTTTTAAGTTTATTTTTGATCGTGTTGAGCGCAAATCTTCCCTTTTTCGTGATTAGTCAAATGGTATCATGACAAGTCAAATAACCCAATTACGCACAAACAATTTCGACTAATACTGTTAACTTTTTTTTTACTGTAAACAATATATACATCTGTGTGTCTATATATATATATATATATATATATATATATATATATATATATATATGAGTGTGTGTATCATGTAGTTGTATATCATCTGTCATAATATGTATTTATAATTTGTACAAACACGCATGCAATCAGATTATTTTTTTAGTTAACGTAAACATCACTTTTATAATTTTACTTGCAGCATGGTTTATGTACAATTACATTATTTGGAATGTTTTTTCTGTCAATTGAAATAGCTTCACATATAATGAGTTTACCTACACTCATGAACATTTACTGTTAAAGTTATTATGGGAATTCAGTAAATGCCTGTCTGACTAAAAACTGTATCAATTGAATTATTCTTGGTTCTCATGATCATGACAAGTAGTCCACAAATACACCCATGCTTAAAATTAATCACTGCAATACTTGCTGACTTTCGGATTTTCACCACTTTATTTGTACTTACAAAATACATCTATACATAAACACAAGTGGTGTTAGTATATAGATACTCCATATCATTCACATGGATTATTTTCTTTCTACATTTAATAGGGTAGGTAAGTGGAATCGTGATAACAATGGAAGGTGCAGTCTCATTGCTTGTCTCCTCTCCGCCTACATGGATCTCGAAGAAAAGGTCTGTGGAGGAGACTAATCAGGATGATATTATTGTGGATGTACAAAATCTATTTATCTCAAATTCAAATGACAGTGGAGGTGGCTGTAATGGTGTTTCTGGTTCGCCTTTTGTTAGTAGGACAATACACGGTGTAGGCATCAATGATTACCTAATAATGATTGGTTACACAAATCATATCATTGCACACAAGTTCACAATAATCTGCATCATTATTTAATTTGATGTCATTTTGTAGGGAAGATGTTGCCGTGTAGAGAAATATCCTCTTCCATATCTCATGGAAGAAAAAAATATTGCATTATATGAAAGGATTGTTGCTCTCAGCAAAATGTCTCTTTCTTTTTACGAGAAAAATCATGTATGCTCCATATCATTGCTTTCTTTCCTCTCGTAAACTTGCATCTTAGAAAAGATAGCAATGACCAAATCATTTCACTACCGCTGATCATATCCTTCTACTCCATTGTAGCCAGGAGAGTCATATGAGTTTGACAGTCTCAAGCATGTGAAGAGTGCACCCATTCTTGGCATAACATATTTCATCACCTTTTTGGCAAAAAAATTGGGGGCAGATGGTTGTCCTTCAAGAATGTTTAGAGCCCGAGTAAACGAGCCTAAGAGCAGTGTCAAAGTGCTGAAATGTGAGCTGATAAATTAACTTGGGTATTGCTCTCGATTCTGTTACTGACATACTGTTTATGGAGTACTGTAAATGTTTTAATGGTTGCTAATAGTAAATATATCTATGGGCCACTTTGAAGTGAAGAAATGTGAGCTGTTAAACTGGCTTGGGTATTGCTTTGTGCCTACTGCCTTTGGCTTCGCTTCTATTAATGAGTAATGACATACTTTGTACTGTTTATGGAAATTTAATTATGTTTCAATAGTTGCTAATCATAAAGTTGTCTTATCATATAAGTTGTTCGATTTTTTCTAGTTTGATTTAAAATTCTTTTTATTTTTCTTTCCTGACTTTTATTAGTTCATATTATATACATTTTGGAAAGAAAAAAACATTCATGTGGAGTTCTGCACCAAAATGTTCAAGTCAACTTTATGAAACGAGCTAAATCCCAAGGGAAAGGACAGAAATTGGTACTTTTGTACGGAGTATTAAATAATTTAACTTGTGTATTTTACTATTTAATTAATTTTAAGTGTGTATACTATTTGTTTGAAACGGGTCAATGCAAGGAACAAATACTTGAAATGCAGTTGAGAAGCCAAATAGCATACATTTGTGGTGTTAAACTGTTAACTAGGGAGTAGGGAGTATTACTATTATATATCATGAAAATAAAACGTGACTTGAAGTCTTGAACTAGGCCCGACCCAGAATCAGCCCGGCCTGGCCGCCTGGTACTCGGTCTTGGAGCCGGTTCGGGCCAACTGGAACCGGTCAGTTCCCGGTGCGGGCTCTGGCCCCCTAAAACGCGAACCGGCCCGGCCGGTCTGAGCTCTGTCCGAGGGGGTATTGGATGGCGGACCCGTTGTTTCCTTCGCTGTAGAAAGGTACTGAAATCCTTTCCTTGGTTTAGCAGCCTCTATTATGAAATATCACGAAGGAAGCTAGGTGAAGGGCTTGCCATAGCAGCCTTTACGGGAGAAGGGCAAAATAGGTATTAGTGTGATTTTGTGGCTGTAAATAGTAAATAGGGCTGCAAATAGAATTGCCCTTTTTGAAAAGAAAATTCAACTTGTCTTTTTTTGAAAAACAGTTGAAAAGCGGGAAAAAATGATACTCCCTTCGTCCCACTTCAAGGTTCCCACACAGTTTACGATGTTTGACTGATCATAAAGTTAACTAATCCCTGTCATTAATAGAATTATTTTTGGAAAATAAAATTTACATATTCAGAAACTAAATTAAAACCGCTACAAAACCTGCAAAAAATAATTTAGATTTCATAAACTTTCGATATATAAAATAAAAGATTAAGAACAATGCACGTTGACCGAAGAATAGTGTACGAGAACCTTTAAATGGGACGGAGACAGTATTATTTTCACATTTTCGACTACTTGGGTAAAATTCCTTAAGAAAGAGAGTTAATATACAGCAGTTTAGGTCCATTAGTCCGCCCATATGTTCCTCCGCACTCTACCCCAAGCCCATCTCCAATCCTTCCAGTCAAGCCCTCAATTAGACCATGGCCCAAAGTTTGTAAATTCCAACCTAACAAGTAGCAATCTAGGCATCTAGCACTGTAGGCTGTAGCACGCTGCTCGCTGGTCTGCCGTTGAACAAACATCGCCACGTCGGAGACTCGGAGCGTCAGACCCGGACGGCAGACGGCGACTCAGATTTTCTGCTCTTCGGTGCTAAACTGGGACTCTGGCCTCTGGGAGAAGCGGAACTACCTAACGGGTAAGTTACTAAGTTAATTAAGTTTTATAATTTTAATTTTACAACCTTGTACGAAGTATATTACAGCCTTGTTTAATTTTAAGTTTTAGTTTTATTGTGTTTTACATTCAATTTAAAGACTAAATTACAACTTGTTTAGTATGTATTTGATTGTTATTTATGAAGTTGTAACTATGGAGTATCATTTATTTGAATTTAGCAAAAAATTTACTTGTGATTTGTAATTATTAATCTAATTATATTTAAGTTAATTAGTACTCCGTATTAGTGTAGCAAAAAATGACGAACAAAACAACATAAATGCTGACTTTGGCATTAATTTAATTAATCTAATTAATCGTTGCAATCAGTGTTGAAAGAGTATATATTCAGGACAATTGGAAGTACATAGAATGCGACATATAAGTCCAATTCCTTTTGGACCACTGAAGCCCAATTTGTATTCGTTCGTCTTCCCGCTTATCCCGCCTGGCTTTCATTCGGCTCCGTGCCTCCTCTTCCGCGTAGTTCCGTATCTATTTATCCAAACCAAAAAGGTATATCATCCATCTCGAATCTTCGCTTCTTCCACTTCCGGGCTTACCAAATTTTCCCAATCCAAAACTATTCCCTCTTTAAACTTTTAACTGTTATTCGGGTCTGAAAGCAACTATTAAAAGGTAAAATTTGGTCCACCGATTTATGCAAATTTATCAAATCTCCAGTTTTTAGATTTTAGTTGTGTCATGTGTGTGTATATTATGTGAGTATTTGTGTATTGTCTACAATAATATGTTTTTTGAATTTTGATTATGTCATAATACGTAGTATGTATGTGAAACAAATTTTAAGTATTTACTTAAAATTGATCGCAAATAATAATATATGAAAATATTGGGTACAATCTCTAAATATGAATCCTCTGATTCTTCACTTGCAATTTGATATGAATATAATTAAAGAATTTAATTTAAAATTAAATCTCTAATTCTTCAAAACTCGAACGTTCTTCGGGTCTTCGAATCTTCGTTCTTGAGATCTTCGAATCTTCGAATCTTCGTTCTTCGGATCTTCAAATTTTCTTGAATAAAGAATTCAGCTTGAAGGGCCTCCGGTTTTCAAGTGGCTTGATCTTCAACAAAAGGGCCGTTTTATGACTTGATCTTCTGTTTAAGGGCCTCCCGGGATATATGGCTTGATCTTCAATTGAATCTTGATTCAATCTTCATATGAATATCTTCAAATCTTCAAAGATTCGTTCTTCATATCTTCGAATCTTCAAAGCTTCGTTCTTCAGATCTTCGAATCTTCAAGCTTCGTTCTTCAGATCTTCGAACGTTCTTCAACTTTTTGCTTTGTTTGATCAAGAATAAATGAAATCACAAAGGATTTGTGACACCGCGCCCATATGTACTTGAATTCGAAAGTTGATATGTATTTGAATTTCCTAGCGAATTAAATCGTGTAACAGAATTGGTAGATTTAATTAATGTGCGATTAATTAAATTATTTATCGGGTCCATATTATTGAGAATGGGCTACCAAATATTTATTTGGGTCAATGTAATAATTATAGAAGCCCAATAAAATGCCAACCAAAGTTGATAAAAATATTTGGACAACCCGAGTGCTATTTTGGCCCAACCTACCGAAAATAGCAGGAATAATTGGGGGAAACTTCCTACACCCATTTGGGAATTTCCTACACACTTTGGAGAGTCTAAATAAGTCAAATTTAGACAACACATGAGGGTTGATGCGGATGGATGATGGAGGAAGTCTCCTAGAGACAAAAACTACACACCCCATGTTATAGTCTTGGACTATTCTTGGGAGTGATTGGATAGAGATACTACTCCTCTACCTCTTGCCTCATCCGCACAAGCCAACCACAAGAGAGGGAGAGAGCTCTAGAGTTGACCCTCACAATCCTCAAGCTTGAAGGAAGCCATAGAAAGGGAAAACCAAAGGAGAAAGGCAAGAAGAATAGGTAAGAACACACCTTTATTCTTTAACTAGTATTAATCTTGTATGATTTTCAAGGAATCATATGGTGGATTAAACCATGAGTTCTACACGTTTAAAAGTGTGTAGTATTGTTATAAAGTGGTGGTATTTAACTTAGAAGAGTCGTGGAATCGATAGGAGTTGAAACCGCCGGAAACCGCCAAGTGTAGGAGGCTGTTCGTAGTTGCAGACCACGAAAGCCGCCCAGCTTTCGTGAAAGCCGCCCGGCTTTCACCTTCTGCCCAGAATTTCACTTTCGATCGGTTTGGAACGGGGATTGATCGAGGGGCTTAACAAAGGCAACTATTGTAGCACATCACAAGGTGAGGATGGCTGACTATATTGCTTATAATCTTTGGGTTAATTTCATAAGATTACCTAAAGTAATTAAATGTGATTTTCATGGATTATTAATGATTAATAATGCCTAAATGAAAATATCATTGTTTGTGAATAGAAGATGCATAATATACAAATTTATGAGAAATTGTGTATGATGATGCATAATAAATGTGAAGGTATAATGATTGTATAAACCATGAGTTTTTGTGATAAAATATACTTTTACTTCATGTATAGAAATCATGAATGGATAAAAGTGATATTTTTGATATTGAGATTAAATCGTATACGGATTAGAAAGTCCATAGGAATGAGCCTTATAACTATGAGTTAAGGAGCTTGGGCTGTTTAAAGATTTATGGATTAGTATTTAATTTACTAATCGGGAATGTTGTATAAAAAGTGATAGAACAATCCTAAGGACTTGGATTGTGAAGGATGCACCTTAAGTAGTCTTATGAGATGCCTTAAGGTAGGAAGGGGTAACCACTAAGTTACATTAGGAGTAGGCCTCATTGGCTACTCAAGATTGAGGAACTCTAGGCATAGAATTTGCTAGTGAGTTAGTATCGTGACTAGAGGAAGCCTCTAGCACGATGAAGAATGACTGGAGGAAGCCTCCAGCATTCGTGTAGGACGAATTAGTATCGTGACTAGAGGAAGCCTCTAGCACGATGAAGAATGACTGGAGGAAGCCTCCAGCATTCGTGTAGGATGACTAGAGGAAGCCTCTAGCATAATGTAATGTGACTGGAGGAAGCCTCCAGCACAAAGTATGTAAGGTGATTAGAGGAAGCCTCTAACACCGAATTTAGTGACTAGAGTAAGCCTCTAGCACGGTAAAACATGACTAGAGGAAGCCTCTAGCATGGTGAATTAATATAGATGGGCGTGGCTTGAAGTCACGGGGAAAGGGTTGAACGTTTTTAAAGAAAAACATGGGTCTTCGGGCCGACTACTTGACTTTATATATAAAGTAAGTATATTTTCAAAGAGGGTAACCACGGGTTATGACCTATATTATATTATCACCCTATGTGAGGGTCTTGGAAATTGAAACTTTGATTATACTTAGTATAGTTGTCATTGTACTTGTCAAATGCTTCCAAGTACTGACCTCCCCTTCACGGGGGAGGCCACCTCACAGTTTCAGGTAGGACTTGAAGGTTGCTACCGCCGCCGTTGCTTCGGGGAGATTCAAGGGAGGAGACGTGGTTCGTGC